ATCTCAAGTCTTCTTATTTGGCTTTACTGAAACTTGGGAAATAAAAGGTGCCATACATATTCAATGTCTGTAAACCAAGCTAAAAATAAACAAACTTACCATATTAGATTGATATATAAGCACCATGAATATCAGTTATGTTAACAAACTGCCAGTGGAACATTAAAACGTCCCAACCCTCACACCTCTCTCATGAAGAAATATCCCTTTTGCAGCTGGCATTCCAACAATAAAAACGAGCGGTGATTGATGAAGTCTATTCCATGTGATGACTGAAGGTTTTCCAATGCTCCATGCATGGTTTCTTCTGCCCATCACATTATGGCCAGCAAGGGACTTTGACCACAGAACTTCTCTGTATTTCAGGAGAATGCTCTTTTGTATGAATTCTTTGCATTGAGTAAGATTTGCACCCAAGCCAAATTCCTTCCACATTGTGCACATTTATATGCTTTTGTGTGTGTGGATTCTTTGATGAGAAATTAGGTCAAAACTCTGACTAAAGCTCTTCCCGCACTCCATGCAGTTATAGGGTTTCTCCTTCAAGTGGATCCTTCTATGTGAAGACAGGTTACTGCTTGTATTGAATCTCTTCCCACACTCCTTGCAGTTGTAGGGTTTCTCCCCTGTGTGGATTCTATTGTGATAACTAAGAGCACTGTTCCATCGAAAGCATTTTCCGCATTCTATGCATTTAAATGGTTTTGCTATTAAGTGCATTCTTTCATGGGAAATTAGGTCACATCCCTGACTAAAGCTTTTCCCACATTCCATACATTTATATGGTTTCTCTTTTGAGTGGCTCCTTCTATGGGAAGTAAGGTTGCTGCTCGCATTGAAGCTCTTTCCACACTCAGTGCATTTATATGGCTTCTCCCCCGTGTGAGTTCTTTTGTGAGAAGCAAGAGCGCTACTCCATCTAAAACTTTTTCCACATTCTGTACATTTATATGGTTTCTCCACTATGTGGACTCTTTTGTGAGAAGCAAGATCACTGCTTTGACTAAAGGTTTTTCCACATTCTATGCATTTATACGGTTTTTCCCCTGTATGGATCCTTTTATGGGAAATGAGGTGACTACTCTGACCAAACCTCTTTCCACACTCCAGACATTTATATGGTTTCTCTCCTGTGTGAGTCCGGTTATGAGAAGTAAGGCTAGTGCTGTTGTTGAAGCTCTTTCCACACTCCATGCATTTATACGGTTTCTCCCCTCTGTGCATCCTTTCATGACGCGTCAGCGATCCATTTTCATGGAAATTCTTTCCACACTCCACGCATTCATATGGTTTCTCTCCTGTATGGATTCTTTTATGGGACATAAGGGAGCTGTTTTTCTGGAATCCTTTTCCGCAATCGACACATTTGTATGGTTTCTCTCCTGTATGCTTACTTTTATGAGAAATTAGGCAAGCCCTTTGACTAAAGCTCATTCCACACTCCATGCATTTATGTTTTTTCTCCTTTGAGTGAATTCTTCTATGAGAAGAGAGGATGCTGCTTGTACTGAAGCTCTTTCCACACTCCATGCATTGATAAGGTTTCTCTCCTGTGTGGATCCTTTTATGGGAAATCAGAGAATTGCTCCACCTGAAGCTCTTTCCACACATTGTGCATTGATATGGTTTCTCTCCTGTGTGGATTCTTACATGAAGGGTGAGACGCTGATTTTCACGGAAGCTCCTTCCGCACTCCTTACATTTATATGGCTTCTCCACTGTATGGATCCTTTTATGATGGGTAAGGTCACTGCCCCTCCGGAATCTCTTTCCACACTCCACACATTTATAGGGTTTCTCCCCACTGTGGATCCTTCTATGATAAGTAAGGTGACTACTCTGAGAAAAGCTCTTTCCACACTCCATGCATTTATAGGGTTTTTCCCCACTGTGGATCCTTTTGTGAGAAGTAAGATGACTGCTTTGACTAAAGCTCTTTCCACAGTCCATGCATCTATATGGTTTCTCCCCTGTGTGCATCCTTTTATGAGAAGTAAGATAATGGCTCCATTTGAAGCACTTCCCACACTCCATGCATTTATATGGCTTTTCTCCTGCTCTTCTTCTTTTGGCTAAAGAAACAGTCGTATTGTAATATTTTACATTGTCCATCAATTCACAATCTTCTTGTTTAGTATAAGTTCTGAAATTTTTATTTACAACTAATATGTCTTTGAATATTTTCCTCCTTTTCCCTAAACATTTTCCTTCTCTTCTTCCTTTCCAAGGTTGTTGAGCAAGAATGTCTTGTATCTGAGTACACTGAAGACTGAACTTTTTCTTCCCCCCCTTTTTTGACTGGTTTCTCTCCTGGTTTTTTGGATCTGTTCGATTTTTAAGCCTCTCTTTTGTCTTTTTGTGACTGATCCCTTGGAATGGTTCCTTGCAATTGTCATTCTCCTGCCCATAGGCTCCTTGAGAAGAAAAGAAAGAATAAAAATTGGGCAAAGCAAGGGAAAAGAAAAAGAATCAAAGGATAGAATGTAACTATAAATTTCCTCCTAAAATTTTGTTGACTTACCAAAATAATAAATAATAAAAAACCCACTGCTGCAACATTTATTCATTCTGGACTTCTGATGGGGTTATTAGAGGTTTAGGAATATAAAACTGCATGGTCAAAATGCAGATGTAGTGTCTATTTAAAGAACACCCTCAAAAATCAATTGCTCTTAAATAAAATAGTACAATCTGTCCAGGTAAATAATTTCTATTTTATGGGGAAGAGAAGACGTTGATTTTTTTTAAAGTCTCCTCCCCATAAAATAGAAATGTATTTATGTTAACAAAAGAGGAAATTCATGCCCTTACAAATGTTCTCTCGGTAAATTAATTCTCTTTATGTCTAAGCAGAGGTCAGATGCAAAGTAGTGAGGAATCAAAAGAAAATTCTAGGGGTGCCCAGAGGGATAATTTGAGCAGAGCCAATCATATCTAGTTCCCTATCCATCTTTTCCTACCTCTCCTGAACATTGCCATTTCCTATTCATTTTCCTCTCACTGCAACCACAGCACTGCAGGCAAGTTTAAGTCCTTCAGTAGTTTATCTATTAATCTAAAATCACATTTTTGCACATAGATGGAGAGAAGTATTTCACCCAGAATCTAGAGATACTGGTTTATAGGAGAAAAATGAAAGAAAAGAAGAAAAGACCTTAAACAAATAGCCACTTTTAGAAACCACCTGTGGTTCACTGGGCAAACAGGAAGCTTCTTGCCCTAAACAAGCAGAGAATGTGAGGGTCAGAGGTTAGACCACTGGGTCCATCATCTAAAGCAAATCATTCAGAAAGTTAAAAAAAAAAAATTCTTTAAGGAGAACGCCTCAGTATGAAATAGCAACATGACAGATCTAAGGAGGTAGCTTTGATTTCTTCCCTTGGTTGGAGCAGAAGATAGGATTATCTCCTTCCTTCACCCAGGAGATTAGGTCTGGTTGGGGAAAATAGCTGGCTAAATCTGACCACAAAATTACTTCTCTAAGTCTCTAAGGGCTGAGCCTTAGAGATTTGGCAGATGGGCCTCAAACACACAACTCTTACCCAGAGAGGCCACATTCTGAGAATTCTCCAGCATGACTTCCCCATGGAGAGCTTTTTGGTGGGGATCCAGCTGAGACCATTCCTCCTCGGAGAAATACACGGCCACCTCCTCGAAGGACACAAAACCCTGAACAAAGAAACACATTTCCCTACTGTATTAACAGACAAGACAAGGAAGGATTTGGAAGTTCCCTCCCTTAGTTTACAAATCCCATAAGAAGAGATCTGCAGTGAGTGACATGTGAGTTTTCAACAGGATGTCACATTTACTGCAAGAAAATGGGTCAAGTTCACAGCCTTTCACCGAAGGCCCAATTGGGGCAAGTTTAATATATTTGACTGAATTTGCCATTCAATAAAACAACCCCAGTTAACTTCTGGATTAATTGGCAGATGGGCCTCAAACACACAACTATAAGAGGCTCCAATTCTCCCTAACAGTTGCAGAAGCAAGTCCCTGGGGGGGGAGGGGGTGTCCTTTCTGACATTTTAGCCAATGCCCTTTGCTGAACATCTTTAGGAACATGTTAGGAGAGTTCATCCTGGGATTTGTGTGGAAGCTATCAACCTGAGGATGACTCATAGCCCAATTTCTGTTCTTCAGATTACAGGGAAGGTGTTTGTGGTATGAACTCTTGGTAGGATGGGAGCTAACAACACAAACCTGAAGATTACACTGAGTTTGCAGTGCTGCATTGGTCGGCACCCAAATCCAGAAACAAATCACATTACTACCAATTCCTCTGCAAACTCTAAGTGACTTCATTACAAGCTCCAAGTTTCTTCTATCTGGTTAGTTTCAACAGAACCTTTTCAAAAGTCTCATAAAATATTTTTATTCCATTGACTATGTAAGCTTTCTCCTAAAGGAATATTAAGGGGGACGTGGTGGCGCAGCGGCTTAATGACGCTGAAAGTTGCTGGCCAGAAATGGTCAACGCTTGAGCGGTTTGAGTCCAGCCTTCGCGTTAACAGGGTGAGTCAGGAGCAGTTGCCAGTAAGTGCGAAACCGCGCTCGCCCGAAAAGGGCGCAAAGCAACGGAAACTCCGCCTCCCGCGCTCGCCAGCTGGGCTCTGCTCTAGGAAGGAGGCTCTGGCA